TTTTTACCAGAATCTTCTGAAACGTTATTTTTTGAGAAAATATTTGAAATGCAAGCCTGGCTCAATTTTCAGCTTCATGATTGCAAGTTTCGTTTGATGTATCTTATGAGTTAACGCAGTAACAAGTAATTGCTTCACAATTTCTGGAACTAATGGCGGTACTGTCCAGTTTTGCGGCATCGCTGGTGTTGTCGATTCGGCTGAGCTCTGAAAAGCCCGCTATCAGAACTTCGTGAGTTACTGACTTGGAGCTTTCGACGCAATTTAGGTGCTGTCACAAGCCAAGTTCGACTAAAGATCTCATCACAAACAATTTACCGGCGAACCTGGGTCAGTGACATGCCATACCAGGTCTACCACAGGTATGTTAGAAATTTATGCTTGCCCTCCTCTTGGGAAGTACTACAACTCGGCTCGATTCTGCTCGGCCAGGTCGAGAAACGAGATGCGGTGGCTGAGGGTGGGGTCAAGGCGCTGGCGGGGGTAGGGGAACGAAGTGGAAAGAAGTATGAGAACGGAGGGCGGTTTTCCAGATTTCGAAAGATCACTTAAAAAATCTTCTGTAATGAAACGTAATTTTTTTTGCCACCTTCATGGAAGTTTTTATTTCTATTGTATTGTTTTCAAATAGCTGCATTTTCTCGCGCGTTTGGTTCAGAATCTTCTCCCTTTCATTGAACTCTGCGGATGCAAAAAGATGCCCGAAACAACTGTTAATACTGAGTATCCATATCGCTAATGAAACCATTTTTGCAATCTGCAATTTCCACAAATATTACTTAATGATTAAATTCGTGCAAATCACAAATGTAGCTATAAAGATTGCAAATGAAACATCAAATCACAAATAATCAGCAAACGAGGGGGTATAGTATTTGTACTAAAAAAAGAAAATTTCGTTAAGGGAGGACATTCACCGCAGCAGCCGACCCTGTAACGCATTTTTACATAAAGATGTTACGATCACTCAGCAAGTCCAGGTAAACTATTGGCCACGCACACCAGGCGGACCCGTGCGGTTAGGCGTTTTTGCAATATTTCGCGCTGTAGTAAGGTAGCTCGGAATTCCAGTAGCTAGAATTTGTGCCGTACTGGTTCTCAAAGTTCAGGAGGTTAATTGTGCAACTAAGTAGTACCTGGTCAGGGGACATCTCCTCAAAAGTTCAGCTTTTTAGCTTTGTTGGAAACTGAGTTAATGAATTTTCCCCGCCAAAAACTTTTACGGGGCCATACGTGAGGGCCAAACCGTTCTGGAACCTCAAGTTGTAGCTTTTAAACTGTACGCGGGCTGCGAACATCCTCTCAAAACTTCAGTTTCCCAAATTCCCCGGTTCCAGAGCTAGCGATTTCCCCGCCAAAAATTTCCACGGGGCCGTACGTGAGGACCAAGCACATTCAGCGGCTGAATGTGAAATCCTTAAGTTGCACGTGGGCCAGGAACGTCCCCTTAAAGTTTCAGCCTTCCAGCTTTCTGCTTCCCTATTTAGCAATTTCCCACCAAAACTTTCGTGCGCTCGTACGCAGAGTCAGAAGTGCGCGAAAATTGGTACTATGGTCTTGGGCTAGCACACGTCCAGGGAACCCACTGGCAAAATTTTGCCATCGGCACTTGCTTGGCCGCTGAGTTGAAATACCCGGAAAGAAGCACACACACACACACGCACACACACACGCGCACACACACACACACACACACATACACACACACAGGCAATTACAAAAATTGGCCAACCCACGGGCTGCCCCTGCGAAGATGCGTTTTTTGCAGAGTTCCCCGCAGTTTTTTTCGCTACCGGCATCGGTTTTATCGGCAGATGCTTCTAGCTGAAAGAATTTCAGACTGGCTGCCAGAACTGTCAGGAAACATCTTTTCAAAATTCCAGTCTTCTAGCTTCTCACGTTTTCAAGTAACTTACCCGGAAGGAACTTTTCACGGGCCTGTACGCAAGTACCACGCTTATCCGTGGGCAG